CCCTCTCGACGTTGCCTCAGTATGATCTTAAAAAAACCCTAGGGTAGTTACTAAAGTTTCTTGCCCAGTTGCCTTTGTGACTGTATAAACATATATTCAAATGTCCCTCAAACATCCAACGACTAGGGCTACCTACTCACTAATAATAGGATAGCACTTTCTAAAGGAAAAGAGGAAAAGAACAATATTTAGAGTAAAAGTAGATAGTTCCTAGATGCTATGCCCAAACAATTTTTACACTTAGACAAAAATCCTTTAAAAACATTTTTAAACACTTTGTATACGTTCTCTACCATTCCAAGAAACATTACAAAGTTTTCCGCACTAAGGCTTTTTCAAAATAATTTTCAAAAACACACAAAGCACAAGGTATTTCAAAATGAGTTAAGCATCTAAGAGCCTGTAGATAAACTATGGATGGAAAGGGTGATAACACCTTCCCTTTCCATAATCTACCCCCTTACTCAGAAAACTCTTAAAAGGTCTTTTTCTGTTCTTTTCACCCTTTCCTTTGTTGGATAAAACAAAAGTCGGTGGCGACTCTTACTTACCGCAACATTTGTGAATACAAATGCAAAACCAGTATAACAATCGGTTCTTCCACCATATTACAATGTGCATAGACTATAGAAAGCTGAATAAAGACACCGGAAGGATCATTTCCCTCTACCATTCATTGACCAAATACTTGAACGATTGGCCAAACATTCTCACTTCTGTTATTTAGACGGATACTCGGGATTCTTTCAAATTCCCATTCATCCCGATGACCAAGAAAAGACTACATTTACCTGCCCTTATGGTACATTTTCCTATCAACAAATGTCTTTTGGACTATGTAATGCTCCCGCAACTTTTCAGAGATGCATGGTGGCCATATTTGTTGATTTTATATATAACATAATGAAAGTATTTATGGATGACTTCCCTATTTGTGAAAAAGTTTTGAATGGTGTCTTTCGAATCTGGAAATAGTATTAGAACAATGTGTTAAAGTTAATTTAGTACTTAACTGGGAAAATGTCATTTCATGTTCGAAGAAGGGATTGTCCTTGAACATATTATATCCGATGGAGGAATTGAAGTGGATAAAGCAAAAATACAAGTTATAGAAAATCTTCAACCTCCGAAAACTGTTAGAGAAGTTCGTAGTTTTCTAGGACATGCTGGTTTTTATTGGCGATTCATTATAGATTTCTCTAAGATAACCAAACCACTGATTGGTTTACTGATGAAAGAGGCTGAATTTATATTTGATGATGAATGTTTGAAAGCGTTTGAACATCTGAAAAACGCTCTTATCACCGCACCATTATGCAACCACCTGATTGGATAAACCATTTGAAATAATGTGCGATGCTAGTGACTCTGCTGTTGACGCTGCCTTAGGACAACGAGAAGACAAAAAAACTTCATGCCATCTACTATTCAAGTAGAACCTTGGACAATGCACAAATGAACTATGCTACCACAGAGAAGGAACTCCTTACTGTTGTGTTTGCTTTAGATAAGTTTTTCTCTTATTTAGTAGGGGCCAAAATAATTGTCTATACTATGCTACAATTAGGTATTTGTTGAACAAGAAGGACGCTAAGCCCAAACTTTTAAGATGGATTCCGCTATTGCAAGAATTTGACTTAGAAATCAAAGACAAGAAAGGTACTGAAAATGTAGTGGCAGGTCATCTTTCTAGAATTGAGTACTTAGAACCAGAACAAGTCCCCATCAATGATGATTTTCCTTACGATCGACTTATATCCCAATTAGAAGATGAGAGTAAAACAAGTGAATGCTCTCTAATCTATCATGACAAAGAGACTAACGAAGTAGTATAGTCAATTTGAATTGTAACCACTTTACCATGGTGTGCTGACTTCGTTAGCTATTAGCATCTAGGGTACTCCCGCCAGACTTAACTTACCAGCAAAAGAAGAAATTCTTCCATGATTTTAAACACTATTATTGGGATGAGCCCCTGCTTTTCAAAAGAGGAGAAGATGGTATTTCCCATAGATGTGTCCCTGAATCAGAAGTAAATGATATCATATCTCATTACGATTTTGCACCCTATAGAGGGCATGCGAGTACTTCAAAGACTTGTGCAAGGATATTGCAATATGGCCTCTTTTGGAATACTCTATGGAAAGATGTCCATTCTACGATTATAAATTGCAACTGGTGTCAATGCACTGGAAATATCTCTCGAAGGGACGAGATGCCGCTAAAGAGGATATTAGAAGTAGAAGCCTTTGATGTATGGGGTACAGATTTCATGGGGCCATTCCCGTCTTCTTTTGGCAATGAATACATACTCGCTGCAGTTGATTATATGTCTAAGTGGATCAAGGAGGTAGATTCTCCTATAAATGATGCATGAGTAGTCATCAAAAACTTCAAGAATATAATTTTTCCTAGATTCGGTGTACCAAGAATTGTCATTAGCAACGGTGGATCACACTTCATTTTTAAACTTCTTGAGAAACTATTGTTTAAATATGGAGTCTATCACTGAGTAGCGACACCTTATCATCCTCAAACTAGTGAACAAGTTGAGGTTTCCAATAGAGAAAATAAGAAAATATTGGAGAAAACCGTTGCGACTTCTAGGAAAGACTGGTCTGCAAAACTTCATGAAGCTTTGAGGGCTTATAAGACAGCTTACAAAAATATGATTGGAACCACTCCATTCAAACTAATTTATGGCAAATCATGTCACCTACTTATAGAGCTAGAACATAAAGCCTATTGGGCCAAGAGATGGCATGATAAAAGGATAACAAGTCGAAAATTTAATAAGAGTGACATAGTTTTACTCTTTAATTCTCGACTTAAACTTTTTCGGGAAAACTTCGTTATAGATGGTCTAGTCCTTTAGAGGTTGCGAGAGTTTTCCAAAGTGGAGCAGTGGAAATAAGAAGAAAATATAATGAGACTTTTATTGTGAACGGGATACGAATTAAGCATTACCATAGTGTAAAAAACAAATATTTATGCGTGAGCTTCAAATTAGAAGAGCTTCCTGCTCTTCCATCTGATTAACCATTTTCCAAACTTATGCCAGGCCCTGACGTTAAATAAGGCGCTGCGTGGAAACTTCCAGCAATTTTTAAATATATATATTCTATGACTACTTATTTTACTATTGCTATTTCCTATCTTTTATTTTTCTTTATTTTCATCTTTGTCCCCTCCTATGCTATTTTACCATATTATAATTAATATTATTATGATATTTTTTGTGTATTTCATCTCTTTTTCTCTTTTATATGTACATTTATTATTATTATTATTATTATTTGATCCTAACCTCCGTAAGTGGCGTTAACTAATTAATATCATAACCTTGTCTAATTTTAGGCTAGCTTACCTTAAGATAGCTTATCACCACCGTAGGAGAATGGAGCAAGTTGATGACATGGAGATTGCTTTTAGGAAAAAAGGGTAGAGGTGTCGTTTTGACATTTTAGCTCAGCGGGAGATGACATAACCCATTTACCCTAACATACTCACTTTGACCACCTTAGGCCTCCGTGATAGTGTGATGTACTTGCTTAACCAAATTGGTTATGATAATTTTGATGTGAGGAATAGGTACACCCCTCTCTGTGGTGTCTCCTCGAGTTTCTGAGTTCCTTGTATTATGATCCTAATCGAGGTTTTGGATTTGGTCGAGGATTATTTACCTTTAGATTGTTTGGACTGAAACACTGTTTCACTCACCATGAGTTGGGCGACCTTTTAGGATTTCCAAACGATCCTGATGCTTATACCATGACACCTGTTGATGCCTTCACCCAACTTGACCTTGACTGCTTTTGGGGATAGATAAGCGGAAACTATCATCCTGAGCCTGACACCATGTTTTCTGAGAATGTCCACAACCCTACTATATGGTATTTCCATAAAATCTTAGCCCATATGCTATTTGGTAACACTACAAGAAAATTAGTGTTTAACGACACAAAAATTGCGACAGTTATGTGATAACTGTCGTAATTGACATATAGAGACAGTGTTTAGGACAGTTGACACCAACCATCCCTAATATTTATTTTGCGACGGTATATTTAACCATCATAATATTATTATTACGACGGTAAAACAACCGTCGACCCCCATTTAACACTTTTAACATTGATTTTTCACCAACAACTAGTCACGACGGTAAAATTAACCGTCCTAAAAGGCATATCACGACGGTAAAGCACCCGTCGCACCCTTAAACCTTTCACGACGGTAAAATTATCCGTCCTAAAATTCATTTCACGACGGTAAAACAACCGTCGCATCCAAAACCTTTAAAAATTCTCATGGGCACGACGGTAAAACACCCGTCGCCGTAAAAAAGTTAAAAAGCTCTTCACTTTCTACTCCTGCGTTCACTTTTTCTACTCACGAAGAAAATACAAGAATTCTCGACCTAAGGTTCGTATGGGTCTTCCAAAGAAGAACCCTAAAGTTTTGAAACCCGCTTTCACCATTCCTCCCAAACTATTACAATCCCTTCGTTCGTCGGAAGAAGATGAGACCTCCCGGCGGAAGCAGCAACGTTCGTCGGCAACCGAAAGAGTCGGCCTACTTACCACCAACTCCACTAAACAGCCACCGTGACTCTGACGTGAGTTTAGCCAGTAGCCGTCCATCCTCCGTCGGAATCCATTCTCTCGACGTTTACAAAGACCGTTCGTACCAACAGAACGCAACCGCAACCATCAATTCATTCCTGGCCTCTCAGGATTTGAATGTCTCTTTCAAACCTTTTTCCTCTCCTTCCGCTAAACACATTCACCAAACCCTAATCTTCCGCGTCGGGCTCAATAAATCTGTTCAGTCTTGTCAATGGAATACTGTGCGTGAAAAGGAAAAAACAAATTGGCGCGGATCACGTTGCTGACGCTGTTCTGCTCCTCTTAAATCTCTGCCCTTTCCATCACTCTTTCACAGAGGTTTGTTTGTGAATCGGAGTGCCAAACCAAATCACATTTCACATCATTCCAACCATGCAAGCAATGGGGTTATCAGTAGCAGTTTCAGTTCCATTTTACCATTCCAGATTATGCATCAATGCCTCTCCTCATCCACCCATTCCCCTCAATTTGAATCATGGCTTTTCCAAATCACTTACATTCAGGGACAGACTAACTCGTGGGAAGAGTAGCTATGTCATTCGTTCCCAAAAGAATCGTGACGATGATGGTGATGTCGATGGATTTTACATGAGGAAAAGCGTTGAGCTCGCCAGAAAGGCTTTGGGGTGTACAAGCCCCAATCCTTTAGTTGGATGTGTTATTGTCAAAGATGGTCAAATTGTTGGCCAAGGTTTTCATCCTAAACCTGGTCAACCTCATGCTGAGGTGAGACTTGTTTCACACTCTTTGAATTTAAATCATCATTTTCGTGTCACTGCATTTCTATTTCTGAGATTTTTCAGGTGTTTGCTCTGAGAGATGCTGCTGATTTGGATGAGAATGCAACGGCGTATGTCACTTTAGAACCTTGTAATCATTTTGGGAGGACTCCGCCTTGCACTGAAGTTCTCATTAAAGCTAGACTTAAAAAGGTTGTTGTTGGGATGGTGGATCCAAATCCTATCGTGGCTTCCAAAGGGTTAGATAGATTGAGAGGTGCTGGAATTGAAGTTGTTGTTGGTGTTGAGGAAGAATTGTGTAAGGGCCTCAATGAGGGTTATATGCTTGTAATTTGCAGGCATATGCTGCTACCGTACAGTGAATCAAAACTATGCAAATATTATTTTGATGCTTTTACGTCTCCGTCAGGCTTGTGATCACCCACTTCTTGTTAAAGAATACAATTCTGATCCTGTTGGAAAAGATTCTGTTGAAATGGCAAAAAGGCTTCCAAAAGAGATGCTGATAAATCTGTTTAATAGTTTGGAAACAACTGCCGCTATATGTTTTGTCTGCAATGTAAGTTAATTCTGATTTGATAATTTCATTATTTGTTTCTTTGTTGCAATTATTCCTTCTAAGAGCGTCATCTGATATAGATCATTTTGATCGTATCTTACCAGTCTTTCTCTTCCTATGGTACATGTTTTGTTTATATGTTTAATAAATAACATTAGTAGGAACACTTCTCCATGGTTTGAAATATGATGAAGTTTGTGAATAAATAACATTAGTAGGAACAATTAATAATTGGGAATATGGCCTCAATACAAAGAACTAGCTTTCTTGTTATTTTCTTTTCTTCTGATACATGATATAGTAGTACGTGATAAGCTTGGTAGACTCTGCTGTTAGTAATTGGTTTAATCTATTTAATGACTCAGTTATTTATTTTGCCTTGCCTATGTTAAATACTTGAGTAGAGGCCAGAGAATAAGCTTGGAGATGATGAAACGTGGGATAGGGCTGAAAGTGCTCTCAAGGAGGCTTTGGATGAGTGTGGCAAAGGGAATGTGTTTGTTAAGGTATGTTATAGGGTTTATAGGTTTGATGTGAATTGTGAAATGCTTAAATGGTGATATTCTGTTTTCTTTTTATGTTTGATGTGAATTCTAATGGAAACTTTGCGGTGATAATGTTATTATAGAACTTAGCGAAATCGATAGATAATGTGGGACTGCATGATTTATTTCAAGAATATGGGAATATTTTGTCTAGCAAAATTGTCATCTCTGAAGATGGGAAGAGCAAAGGGTTTGGTTATATACAGTTTGGTTCAGAGGAGTCTGCAAATGATGCTATCCAGAAAATGAATGGCTCTACTGTGAGAGATAAGCAGATGTATGTGAAATTGTTTTAGAATTTGTTAAAATTTTCCTTCAGTTCCATATGTATGTTTTCTCTTTTGAATTTGTTAATTGCTCTTTTAGTTATCTTAATATTGGTTTTGATAATCTGATTCCATTTCTTCTCACAGATATGTTGGGAAATTTATCAGAAAAAGTGAGCGCTCTTTGCCTGAACCTGATGCCAAATATACAAACTTGTACGTTAAGAATTTGGACCCAGATATTACCGAAGCACTTCTTAAAGAAAAGTTCTCATCTTTTGGAAAAATTCTTAGCTTGGCTATTGTAAAGGATGAGAAGGGGTTGTCAAAAGGTTTTGGATTTATGAACTATGAAAACCCGGATGATGCAAGACGAGCAACAGAAGCAATGAATGGATCACAATTTGGTAATTTACTTATCTTTTTAGTACATAGGTCTTTTATGCTCAAAGTTGCACTTTTCTGGATGTTGATTCTCTGTGTATATCTGGTTTTGATTTGTCATAACTAGGTTCAAAGAACCTGTATGTTGCAAGAGCACAAAAAAAGGTTGAACGTGAGAAGATCTTGCATCAGTGGTTTGCAGAAAGATGCATGGAGAAAAACTTGAAATACAAGGTAATTCCATACCCTTTTTCCTATAGTTGACTAATTAATTTCAGCTTTCTTAGTTTTCCACCATTTTAACTTTCAGGGATCAAACATTTATGTGAAGAACATTGATGATAGTGTTAGTGACGAAGAACTAAAGAGTCAGTTTGTGCAAATCAACAAAGAGAATCGCAAGCAGCTTCCTTATCAAATTACAGGTGCACAATTTTAGTCTCTGAGTTATTTAGTACCATTGCATTACCTAATGTAGTTGCGTTGCTCTAATTTCAGAGAATACAAATTCACAAATTTTCTTACAATACTAATCAATCTTGTTAATAGTTAGTATTTTTCCCATTCTAGATGCTAGCCCACTTGCCTTATTTTCAATCTTAGTGGTCATAGAAGGCTTATGCAGTTCCGTTACCAAAGTTCAACTTGGATGTTTTTTCCATTCTTCAGTTCACTAGCCTGACTTTGGCAATCGCATATGTTGTGGACAGTCTCCTGCTGTCAATCTCAGTTAGAATCCAATTGTCCAAGGGTGCAGTCTCCCAAAGGACAAAATAAATGATTGGACTCAACAAGCAGATCTGATGTCTGCAATTTGTTTGATTAGTAGATATTTTGACACAGTGAAGATGATTATGAAGTACTTGTAGAGCTTGGCATACCGTACCACACAAGTGAAAAGGAAGATCTGATAGAGTTAAATAATATTCATGATAGAAATATCATATCTGGTCATATACTAAATCTTGGCATTGGAACCATTTTTGCCCCCAAATCTCCTAACAAGATCAAACTCAAGTATTACCTGCACGATTCGACTTCAACTTTAGTTCAAAATCTAATATTGAAGTTATATTAGTATCATACTCAATTTATAATTACTTGTCTATAAACATGACTTACATGCATTTTAGAGCTTCAAAGTTATCATCACAACCTGATATTTTGTCTTGTACACTTGATCATGCTGATTAGGGTGATGCGCTGCACGGTTAGTTTCTATTTTTTTGAAGATAATGAGTGAATTGTTATTATGGATGAGTGTTTCGCAAACATAGTCTTGAATAGAGTTGATTAGGTTTGAGTTTGAATTGAAGTTATATGATTTGTGCCAAATTATCAGTAATGGTTAAACACCAAATACATGATATGATTTACTCTATGTGGAATAGGAAGTTATATTGTTTGTAATATCCTTAGGCAGATATGCAATTTAGAAACATAAACAAATAAAATATTGATTGCTTTTTATTTTGTGTTCCGTGGCTGAAAGAAACTCTGTTGTCGCTTTCAATTATGCAGGCATGGTTAAACCATCCAAGCTTTTAACATGCTTCCAGTGGGGTGCCTTGATGGTGGCAGGTCTGTGCAGGTAAATTACATTGCTTTAGGTAGATTTAATATTGGAGGATGCATTTTTTTAATTACTTCCTTAAAATGCTGTAAAGTTCAAAGCATGAAGTAGATAATGTAGAAAATAGAGCATTTAGTAATTATCAATATGGAGTTGTTCGCTTTGCCTTATGATGATTGGTAGAAACAATTCACTGGAAGGTTTTTGTTTTTCTACATAAATGTTACTTATTGATTATTTAAATTGATGTTATATGCCACAGGACGCATGTTTCACGGAAAACCACTGTATGTTGCTTTTGCTCAGAGGAAAGATGTTAGGCAAAGCCTATTGCAGCTCCAGCATTCACACTGGTGTTATTTATCATCACCCTAAGGGTTCTACAACATTTTATCATCATTCATCGGGTTCTATTGTGAGTGACAAATTTGCATAATAACTAGATAAAAGGAGTTCATCATAGGAAATTGAACTCTTAATGCAAATGCATAATTTTAGTGGAAGACAGGTATATTATTTTGACGCATTTAAAGTTAAATTTTATGAGTATTATTTTAAAGATTATTATTTTAATACCTTTTTTTAGGGATTGGAATCACCCGCTGATGGTAGACGTTCATCTGAGTCTAGCTACCGTATTGGAGATAATGGAACTTCAGGGGGGACAAATTAGAGTTTGCTATGATCGAGATAATTAGATTATGAACTTTCTCATGTATTTTTGGCATAATGATACTTATTATTATAAGATTAGGAATTGATATATTTTGGGTTTTTTGTACTACTTGACATGATTATGGAACTCGCAATTTACATGATTATGGAACACACATTTTTTTGGATATTATAATGCTTATTTGATGTTAAATATTTTTTATTGAAATTATTTTTACTATATTACAAAGTGATAGAAAATAAAATAAAAAATAATACTATAAATAAATATATTAAAGAAGAAATAATTTAAAGAAAAAAATAACACAAAAAAAACTATATTTAAAATTTTTTACATAGATAATAATTTAAATAAAAAATATATATAATAGAAAAATAAAAAAAAATCAAGACATAAACAAAAGTCATGGCGACAGTACCGAACCGTCGTAATCAACAATTAAAAATAATCAACAAAAGTCATGACGGTATCGAACCGTCGCCATAAACAATTTAATCAATTTCAAAAGATATTCACGACAGTATCGAACCGTCGCCATCAATAATTAAAAGAAACTCAAAAGATAGTCACGACGGTATCAAACAGTCACCAATACTTGATTATGTCAGCTCCAAACCCGTCGTAAACTTGAACGACAGTTTTTGTAACCGTCGCAAAATAGGTTGGGGACACACACTTCTGCGACGGTAAAGCAACCGTCGTGGAAAGCAAATTGCGACGGTTTTAACCGTCGTAATCTACAAAAATACATGTCGCAATCTGCCAATTTTCTTGTAGTGTAAGGAAGAAAACATCACCTCTGTTTCCAAAGATGAACTATTTGTCATGTACTATGCTTCCCAAGGCAGGCTAATGAATCTTGTTGTCTTTATGTTTGCCAACCTTGACAGGATTGCTAGAGAGACCCATGACATCATTTATATAGGAGGTCATGTCATTATGATCGATGATGTGATTGGTTTAAGATACCAGCTTAACCACACTAATTATTTTGGAGGTATCCGACCCATGCATTTGCAATTTTTATTTAATAGAGGCATGATTGCTAATTTAGGACCTGTAATATTTGAATTCTTGATTGATAGGTCCTAAAATTTACACAACCAAACCATGACAAAACTATTTTTCACAATGGGGACAATTGGTTTTACGTCAGAAGATCAAAACGAATCACTTACTCCACCTAACAGTCCTCGGCCTTACATAATCCTTGAATATGGCCTCCCTGATGCTATGTCTCATGTCCCGGAGGCTGACCAATTCGACCCTCATGTCGATTTTTCAACGGCTATCCTTACCCTTCAGACTGAAGTTGAGTTCCTTAAAGAAGAGGCTTCCTCTCTGCGAGTGGATTTCCTCGACTTCATGAACACTGTGTCTGAGCAGTTTGATAGTGTGCTTCAAAATATCTATTCTCTAAGGCGTGATGATGCGACAAACACTATAGGCCATAATGGCTAAGCCTCTATTTGGACTATTATTTTTTTTTCTTTTAGAAAGTTATTTTTATATTTTTGTTATGTACTATTCATTTACATTCTGTTTTTTGTTTGTATTTGTATTTTTGTGAACAAGATTTGTGTTTCAGTTATCTCTACTAATGCAATTTCAAATTTTTGCGGTATTATCGCATTTTTTTGTCGCTATATGAAAAGTTCGTATGAAAACTACTTTACACCAGTAGCCTTAGGCGTTAAAAATCTTTTTCTCGGCTGTCTGCATTCAATTTTCTAAAGTTTGTGTTTTTAACACTAATGGAATTCGCCATATGTCAATGAAGATATCAATTGACCATTTTTAAAATTAACTTTAAACGTTCACATAGATGGCGTCTAATGGTGTTCGCTATGGCAGTAAAACAGCCAGTAGCGCCCTTTTGTATTACTATTTGCGTGTTTTCCTAATGGGTGTTCCTTTTCAAAAATCCTTTGGTCTCTCTAGCCTCCCACATTACACATCTTCATTCCCATTTATTTCTATCATATTCCTTAACCATTAACGTTAACTCATTCTCTATAAATCGTCAAAAATATTTATTTCTTTTCCACCACCATTTCTCTTCATCTCTTGCATCACTTCATACTATTATGCATTTTCTTCCTTTTTCTCATCCCACTTTCATCATGTCTTCAAGAGAGATTGACTACATGGGTATCAGATTCCTCGGAGGAATCGATAGGGAGAATCAACAAACTAGCTTCCACAAACTTATCAAGAGAAAAGTTCTACCCACTAGGTACCACGACAATGATGCCCTGCGCGCTCTAGGCCTATTCGACAACGTCAATTGGATGATTAAGAACCTAGGTATGTATAACTTCAACTCCATGATCAGTCCGACTTACCCTTGGCTTACTTATGAATTCCTTAGTTCTTTTAAATATGTCTACCCGTTAGGAGGTCCACGTACCAAAGGAAATGTCCCCTTTAGAATGTTCTGCCAGAACTACACATATAACCAAGATCAAATGGCCAATATTTTCTATTTTCCTCATGGAGACGGTTTTGCTTGCAAAGCTCCTCTTGAGAGTGAATATCAATCTAAAGCATTTACTTTCTAGCACGAACTATCCGATAAAACTATAACCACATGGGAAGACCTTAGGGCCACTGCTATCCATAACCCAACCATCAGGTACTTGCACTGTATTTTAACTAACACACTTTTTGGCTGGGAAAACACTGCAAATGTAAATTCTAAAGAGCTTTTCCTTATCCAGTGTGCCTTGTTAGAGAAGAAGGTTAAACCAACACCGTTTTTGTTATCCCATTTTCAGTCTGTTAAGGATAGAGTTTGAGGTCTTATTTGTGTTGGAGGGCTGATCACCACTATAGCTCTTGCGTTAAACTTAAGTTCTAATTTAGACTCAGTACGACCTCTTGAAACACCATTTGCGGATTTAACATATTTCTATCACATGCTCTTGTATAAGAACAAACTAGACAAAAAATACTTACTTATGGTTAATAGTCGACAGGTTGACATCACTTTGCCTTCGATATTACCACCGCTCTTGCCACTAATGTTAGAAATGATCCCATCTTCGATATTACCACCTCTCTTGCCACTAATGTTAGAAATGATCCCATGGAGCAAGATGCACCTAGTCCTAGTACCCGTGCACACACAACACATACTTTTATTGACTCTTTTGCAGGTACCTCAGTCGGTCAGCAGTCCTAGGCGGAGTATCACTACACATCTATGAGAACAACCCTTAATGACATCCTAATTGAACTGCGGCATCAGAATGATATTGATGCATAGCATGATGTGATGCTTAGGAGTATATAGAGTCAGCAAGCGGAGATGCTGGTCACCATTGATGAGCTTCGAGGCAATTAGCTCAACTATACCAACATAAATAAACATAATATGGGTGACCTTCTTGAGGAAATGGTGGGTTTGCGCTTGACTGTGGTAGATGTGGCTGAGCTTATGCACCATGTCCCGAATCCTAGAGGAGGTGGGGTGATCAAGGAGAGAATAGAGGTCGTGGCCGTTATTACTGAGCTCTTTACCATGTTCTACCTACTCCTTCTTTCTTCTTGCACTGAAACATTGGGGACAATGTTTGGTTCAAGTGTGGGGGAGGATCTTTATCGCTTTGTTTTCATTTTGTTCAGTTTTTTTCTGTTTTCCGTTATTTTGTTTTTATTTTTCGAGTCATATGCACACTCGAGTCTTATTATATGTTACTTTTTTTCTTTTTGTTTGAAAACTCCCTTAGTTTATACCCCAATTAATTTTTTTTATCTTGCTCTGATTCAATGACATGACACTCTGATTGCATAGGTTGTTTTTAGGCTTTGGTGTTTAGACTTTGGAAAGTTTTGCTAATATTGGCACCGTCCTAACACCCTTGACTCCCTAAATATGTAAAATCGATTTGAATATTTACTATGCCTAGACCAGCTCTCTAAGCCTTTAAAGTAACCTCTTGAGTAGTTTATACTAGCAGTCAGCACCATCAAAGCACAAACTACGTAGGAAACCGATGAAAATAAGTGAATGATCCTAAAATAAATTAATTGAAAGTTCTTGTTGTTGGTCGGTCCATTGGTTTTTGGTATTGGACTTGGTAGGGCGGATTACGGTTCGATCCCCCACGACTACAACTCGGATGAATAAAGAGAGTTATACCACATAATTACCACAATCCTGAGTGAAAGAAAATAAAAATAAATTTCCCCCTGTAATTGGTCAATTGGTTTCTGGTATTGGACTTGGTAGGGTGAACTACGTTCTGATCCCCAACAATTGCATTGGGTTATAAAGGGGTGTGTTGCATTTTGCTACCAGAACCCCGTGATAGTTGATCATAATCACTAATAGGGTTTTCTATTATGTGCGTGCAAGGATAACGAGCTTAATGTGATTGCGCTATAATGAAAAAGAGATGAAAAAGAACAATAAATTGTAGGTCGATTCATAATGATGTGATTCGGATTGGTATTGCATAAGGGGGGAGTCTTTGACCATAAATGTGGACTTATGTCATTACGGCGTCCTTCTATTAATTTTAAGTACCTATCCATTTAGCTATAGCTTAGCACTTCCCCTGCTTTCTTTGAGTTCCTTCATGCTTATGTTTCAGACAGTGCGCTTATCCTTTTTCTTTGAATTGGGAGTTTGCTCGAGGACGAGCAAAAGTCTTAGTGTGGGGGAGTTTGATAACGAGAAATCGTATCATGTATTTAAGCTTATTATGCATATTTTTCGTCTGCATTTTATTTTATTTATTAGCATTTTACCTTCTTTTCGTTTTTTTTGCAGTTGCTTTGAGCATCGGTCGCAAATTCAGAGCTGAATTGGAGAAAGAGTGGAAAAAGAGCTAAAGTTCAACAAATTTGCAAATTCATGTCTCCTAGCTTGATATGGCGTTCGCCATAGGGATATGGCATTCATCATATGGAGATAGAGTTCACCTTTATCCCCCCTGCCACGTATTTTACAAGTTGAAGCAATGGCGATCGCCATGGCCCCAACGATGATC